AGGTATGCTTACCGCCCTTTCCGCTCTTGCCACCACCTCCGTCGCCACCACCTCCTGGAGCGTCTTCCTTGACAAAGAAATCCTTCGATTCGGTAATGGTGAACGGCACCGGTTTGCCCAGCTTATCGCCGATGGCGTCTTTTTCGAAGGAGATCACCTTACCATTGGCCATCAGGTGAAAGTTCTTGTCGTCAGCAAAACCAGTGGCTTGAACGTTTTCAGGAAAATTGGGCAGCTTCTTCTTACAAAGTGGGCCTTTTTTAGTAGCGGTAACCACCAGCTGGTTGTCTTTCTCATTGCTGGGGCACAAATCGTAATGAGTATCGCTCTCCTTAGTGTTAGATTTTGGCAGCTAAAGGAGATAAACGGAAACACCGGTAAGCTTAACCGGTAACGAATGTATACTTCTTTTGACCCATGACTTACGCTATCACCTTCGAATGATAACTTATAAATTGGGTTGGACTGATTGCCAATCATCGCTCGGTACATCGTCATCGGCTCTTTGCTGGAAATGGACATAGGCTCAATGTACGGTGTTGCATCCTTGCTCACCACCTTCTTATTTTCAACATCGAAGACGATGTTGCCCGATGGTGGACCATCGCCCAGACTGGTCTTCGCGGTAGCGACAGCTCTCTTCTTCTTGTGTCGAGGTGGCGGTGTGGTCGGGGGTGTCACCTGAAAGANTTATTTTCAACATCGAAGACGATGTTGCCCGATGGTGGACCATCGCCCAGACTGGTCTTCGCGGTAGCGACAGCTCTCTTCTTCTTGTGTCGAGGTGGCGGTGTGGTCGGGGGTGTCACCTGAAAGAGTATGAAGTGGCCGCTTTTGGAGTCGGTGACGAGCACTGCTGCAAAGACAGACGGCGGCAGCTCCAGTTCTGGCCAAGCCTCCTTCAGCTCCTTGCCACTCTTGCCCAGGTAGGCTTTGCCATCTGTGACTCCACTGGCCGGCTGCTCAAAGACGCACATGGTGCCCGAGACATTGTAAATGGCGATGAACTTGTCGCCAGTAACGCCGATCACCATTGGATTGCCATCCTGTGGGGCGTCGCACTGGGAAGAATAAAGGGATGTTGGTCAGAAAAATGCACTCAATGTTGATGACTGTCCTCTTACCGCAAAAACGGTATTTTGAAAACTGGCGTAGAAGAGTAGCACTAGCAGCGATGACAGGGAGATACCAACTTGGAAGTTTACATTTGAATGAGTCATGCTTGTTGTAGCAGATGGAAAGCGGTAGTAGAGTATGTAATGTGGATAAGAATGGACAAAACCTTGGACAAATGATTAAAAGTGCTGCAAAGTGGGAGCTTATAAAGCAGTAGAAAAAAAGTTCTATTTTGTAGGATTTTAAAAAAGTTCCAGAGTAGCAAAAGTGTGCAAGTAAAGTGCGCGCCATGGTCATCAGATGTGCTGACTTTTTCTTGTCAACAATTAACAAAACTTTGATATTTGTTATAATACAGGTAGCAAAAGATAAAAAGTGAAAAGAGATCATTACATAAATATCAGGTGGTCCATTAGGCAGTAAAACGTTTATCATAATGTAGTTAATTAATCTGCCGAGTACTACGTTGAAGAGCTGCTGCTGCTCTGTTCATTGTTCATCTTGCTATCCAGCTTTTCAAGTAGCAGGGCAATAGTCTGCTCATAAGATGTCATCTTTCGCTGCAACTCCTGCAGCTCTTGCAGTACCCCGGCTGAGGTGGAATCATCACTTTCTTCACCATTCTCATCTCCATTACCATCTCCATTACCATCTCCATTATTATCACCTTCAATCACTGAAGTGATTGTAGTGGTCAGGACGGTGGACGGTTCTGCTGATGCCATCTCTGCATTGTCCAAGCTGAAACCCATGTTCTGCGATGAAAGGGACAGCGGTGGCGGGCAGATTTTCTTTGTGGCAGAAGTTGATGCTGAAATACAGATAAGAGGCGTCGCCTTCAGCGTCGGCTCACAGGACACTACATCTTGGTCAGTATGATTGACCTTCTCTGATTGAACTTCATCATCACCACTGCCGACTGAGATGATCTCAGTTGGCTTTTTTGATGTTTTATTTTGCTGCAGCTGCTGCTTCTGCTCCTGTTGCTGCATCTCCTCTTCTCGAGATCGCTTGCCATTTGAGTTGGTGGTAAACAGTGCAACATCCTCAACTGCGACTGAGATTGAAGGTGAGCAGCAGGGCGTAGTTGATGATGACGAGGCTGATATTGATTGTTCTGGAGCCGCCACCTTTTCAGAATCAGCTGGGTCGTCATCAACCGACAATTCCTCACTGGTTGACGATGATGATAATGATTCTGCGGTAAGCTTGAGTTCATCCTATACAACAAATGACAAACGTTAACTGTTGCTTCAAGTGAATGGGCAAACCTTTACAAACCTTCAAATTCT